CAGCATAGCACACATATTTCACATCAGATCCAGGCCAGTTCAGAACCGAGGCTCCAAACGAGCGGTTTCGCATCGCAGTGTGCAAGTCTAAATTTGCATTTTGCGCCTCATCAAAACACATCCAAGCGCAAAACTGAAAATGTAACACTTTTTTTTTCCCTGATCGGCTGAAACTGTCCCAGAAAGGCTTCACTGGGATGGAGACAGGTCCCTGGAATTAACCAGAGATGTCAAAACTATTCATGTTCATTACTCAATCAGAAAAAAAGTATTCTTATGTGACGCCCCTGGAATTAACCTGAAGAAAAAGATGAGAAAGTTGCTCTTTAAATCAACTCATTCATTAGCAAAACTGCTCTGCGAAGCAAAAGTTATTTCAAGCCTTGATAACTGGACGCTTTTGTCCGTCGGTTATCTGCGAGCGCTCAGCATCGGCCCCCAGCCGTCGAGAGAGTTCCACTAGCTTCCAACAAAAGAATCCGAGCGACGCAATGAAAGCCAGCAGATCAGAGAGGAGTCAGTCCAGATCAAACAAGGACCATGTGCAGGATTTTGCTGGTTTTTAATCTTGCAGTTTATAAGGAAGAGAGAGGGAGAAAAAAAACAAAAAAAAAAAAACAGCCTGGAGCCTGGATGCCAAAAAGCGGCCCGGGTGGGCCAGTCAAGGTAGCAAAAAAATGCACATGGAAGCTACACTAACTGTTGTCCATTTGGATGAGGAACATCTGCTCCAACGTTATCCAAACATTCATTTCGACACGGCTCAAAGTGAGGAAATCATGACAATTTGGAAGCGTGCTCATTCAGGGTTCCGACAGCCCACCGCAAAGTTGAATCCGAGAGGTTATAATTCTTTTTGAAATTGCATTTGAGAGCGACTTCACAATGTTCACGGTGTCGCCTTCCCAATGGAAACGTGTCTCGTCAAAAGCAAGGAGAGATTTGGTGTTGCGTCATGCCAGCTCAAGAGCACAAACCCTGATTCTGAACTGCTGTCAATCAAACGATTGGTAATATACTCCCGCTACCAATCAGAGTGTCGAGTGACCAACATGCGTGATTTTGAAACCGTGGAAGGAGACGCACACGCCAAAGAGCGAGCGGAAATTTGAAGCCAGTGTCTCTGTTGGGAAAATTCAATTTACACTCCCCTTGTTTCCATTCATTACACACATGCCCCCCCCCGAAGACACGAGCACACTTTAGAAGTAATGCACTGCGTGCATCAAGGGACATATTTAGCCTTCAAAATGGTGATGCATGGGAACATATGTGGTCACTTTGAGTTGGGGTGGGGGGCCATTTCCATGAAGCCTGTTAGTCTACTTGGCGTTCTAATAAATTCAAAACAGTAGCCGGTCGAATCAGATGGTGTGCACGTATTGAAAAACTGGCCCGTTTTCCCACTGGTGTCTTGTAAACACACGCGGTTGGACAACACAGTCGCAAGCTAAGAGAGCAGAACCATGTGACCTCTCCTAGTCATTACAAAATGCGGGAAAATCCTTTTGTATTATATTGCATATCATCGACAAACACTTTGACACTTAAGTAATCGTTTAGAGCAGGGGTGTCAACTCATTTTGGTCATGGGCTACATTTGAGTTACCGTTTCCTTTGGAGGAAGCCGTTAAGACTGAAACCACAAGTTACTGTAATGAGGGGTTTGGTAACAAGAAAATGCTTTCAAAATGTCTTATTACATATGAGAATGTTCACTTTTACTAGAGATTTTAGCAAGCATCGTGGAAGTTGACATGTTTGATTTGCTTTCGCGGGCCACATAAAATGATGTGGCGGGCCAGATCTGGCCCCCGGGCCCTGAGTTTGACACCTATGGTTTAGCGCCATTGTTTAACTTTCAATCTGCTTCTGTTTCAAAAAAACGACAACCCACATTTTTTCCGGTTTTCAAACACGTTATGAAGGGAAACCAGCAACCGAATCACCATCAACATGAAAATTTGAAGGCCATTTAATTTATGACGAAAATAATTGTTATTTGTAGCCGTACTATGAATAACCTGTCAACCCGGAAACCTTCACATTGGTCAGTAGCAAAGTACAGCACGAGTGCATAATGCACAAATATTCTATAGCTGCGGCTCTCCTGTGACAAAAACTCCATCTCAAGATGTCCGACATCCAATAAATTTGGGGGGTCATGTCGAACAAGATTTCAATGTGTGCTCAATGATGTGGTGAGCTCACTTCCTTGCCAGTGTTGCAACTTTCATCCGTCAAAAGCAAACGTCAACACTTCTCAACACGATGGGGACGGAATTAATCCGGAGAAAGCTAAATTGTCTTCGGTGTGCGTCGTGTGTTGGGGGTCACCTGGGGGGGGGGGGGTCTCTGGTGCTGGGGTCACTGTAACTGATCACTCTAACCAGAACCTTCTGTTAGCAGTGGCTTCATTTCAGCAGCTTTGCTTTTCCTGAAGCGCTGTCCTTTTTCGCCCCCTCACTCTGTACACACACACGAAAGGGGGGGAGCATGTATTTATAACAGGGTACTAGAGAAAGAAGTCAGGCGGGCCTATTTTGGGAGGTCCAGCCTTCAATCAGTCAAGCAGACAAGGCGGCAGTGATACCGGGAGAACAATAGCACGCTGCCTGTTTATCTTCCTCTGGGCTGGCCTGGAGGGTTCTGCCTCCTGGTCCGGGTCGCCGTCACCCTGCCCTGCCTCCCTGCAGCAGGAAAACAGTCGAGGGACAAGAGGGCGAAGTCCTCCCACAGTCTGACACTTGACAAAGCTGGGGAGGGAATGCGCTTGCAGTTGTTTGTCACCCCCCGCCCCTCTCTACTCTGTCCCGATGTCTATCTATACCACAAAGTACTTTTATCTTCACTTAGTGCTACAGTACATGAAGGAATTCTGTGTGTGTGTGTGGGGGGGGGGGGCTGTGTAAGGGAGAGGGGAAGCTGATATTGTTATCCATTAAGTCGAGATTTGAAGAGTGTGTCGTGTAGCTAATGGTGTGTGTCGTGGCTACGCAACCACTGAGTAATGTTGGAGCAGCACACATGACGATGAGTACAAAATCTGCTCAAGTAGACCACAAAAGAGGATCACAATATCTGCAACTATGCAACATTGAGTCTACACAAGTGCTGCTCAAAATATTTGGTACGCGGGTTCATTTAATGAGCTCTGATAGCAAAATGGAAACGCCTTGGAAAAAGAAAAAAAAAATAGGTGACTTCATACTGGACTGGATTTGTTGCATTTTCCTCTTTTGAGGTACTGTGTTGCCTTTGGGTACGAGTTTAGACTGTTGAGAAATGATTCCAAATGTACTTAATCCATTTCACCCCACCTCCCAAAAAAGAAAATGTCATGTATATTTTAATGAGGAAATGAAATAGTCAGACAAACTAATCTACAACGATGTAATATGTAAATTAAATTTTGCATCTCTTCAGGCGCTTGCTGGACGATATGGGGAACCTGTGATTTTTTTTTTTTGACGTACAGTATATAAAACGACTTCACAGGGAAAAAGTGTTCCCTTGAGAAACATTTGCACATTTTTATAGCCAACAGTGAACAATAGCCTTGTAAAAAGCAGGTGCATCTCATATTGTTGACAAAGCACACCAAGTCCGAGAGCAGCGCAAGGACTTGGAAGCAGCTGAAAGAAACTAGCGGGACTCAAGTCATCTTCACCAAGCATGGCTGGGTTCACAGAAGCGGCGAGTAGCAGCCTGTGGTGCTTGCAGCCAAAGCCGAGATGTGAACTCGTGGCTGGAATGACACCACTGACTAATCGGGTACTTGGAAGGAGACTACAGTGCTCCCAGGTATGTTTAATTTTAAAAAAAAGTTTTCTTTTTCAGTCAGGGTTCAGAAGAGTAAAGAGTTAGGCCTCTAACCCTCCCCAAAAAGTAAACCAATTCTTCAAAAAGAGGCGTGATGTTACTCCCACTTTGAAATTTACTGTATTGTCAAAATATCAAACAAAGAACTACATCTTGTGTATTTCAAACCACCACAAAGCTCCGCTTGAGGAAACGCGAGTGCGAGTAAACAATGCAAACAGTTTGCATCGACAGACGCTATTTTGGAAGTAACCGAGACGTGAACACAAACGGTGGAGCAACACATTAATGGTGACAATACTCACGGGCATTTGATATTTTGCATCTTGCGGAGAACTTAGGAGGCCTGCTATTGGTTGTTTTTATCTGCATGAGGATATTCTGCCGGGGTCCTGCTGGCCAGAAGGAGCGGCGCATTACATTGAATTGTAGTATGATTACTCATGATGCACAGTGCCGTATTTCCTTTTTAGAAACACAAACAGGCATATCGTTTTTTGGGGGTTTTTTTTTTTTTTGGGGTGGGGCAGAAGCTGTAACGGATTGTCATTTCGACAGATTTCAATGGGGAAGGAAAATTTGCGGCGCAAATGTTTTGAGTTGAGCAAGAGTGTTGAGTAAACTCATCTCTCAATGCACCACTGTACCCAATAGAATTCTCCAAGCACCACAGCCTGCCTAATTTTAGTCCCTTGTGACGAACTGTCGCTGTGTCAAATGAAGGTCAAAGTGTTCAGGTGTGTCGCAGAGATTGTGATCCTTTCCGCTGCGGAAGAACTACACGCACACACACGGTGCTGATTTTTCCACAGCAGGCTTTGTTCAAAGCTGCTCCGTTTATCCACCCTTGTGTTGTGACTCATGTCTTTTCCATCCTGTTGCCCTCCCTCAATTAAAAAGACGCATCCAATCATTCTGACCCGTACCATGACTTGGCAGAGTCCACCAAAACACACACGAAAACACACCGTGGCGGCTTGCTGCTCCAACTCCTATTTTAGTCAAATCCTCCTGTCTCCAGCATCCTCCCTTTTCTTCCACTCTTTTAAAGGGAAGCCAATTCCTTTATTCTCACAGCATGACATGGCCTAAGCGAGAGGGGGAGGGGACGTATTTAGTGAACACATCACAGAGCAGTGAGATTTATGAGTGAGCAACATTAATGGAACTCAAAAAAAAAAAGTTTATGCAGCTTTATTGGAAAGCGAAGCTGCACTTTTCCAAGCTGAAGGGCAGCAAACCAAATGAACACTGGTTACATTACACAACCGTTCTGAGGGACACGTCCGTAATTTTCTCACAAATAGTTTGCAGATGTCTTATTGAGATATACTGTACATGGTTTTCAACTTCGAAACAGCTCCCATGTTTCCCAATAACATTTCGATGACACGAGTTCACGAAAATGTCCCAGGATGAAGAATTACAGCCGTTGACATGCCGCTTTCCGCTCGAGTTTGTTTTGAAGGGGCGGCCTTATCAAATACATCAGATCCAGTTAAGATGCCGCACAACGCGCCATGCGGCCACACCCCAAGTTGCACGGGGCAATGGCAAAAGAATGACAAGTTCAAAGAAAACCCCATCACAAGGCAGTCACCAAAAACGGTGATTGTATTTTGTGACGACGAACGAGAACATGAAAATGTTTCAGTGTAGTCCGGTTGCGCGACTTGATTGCAAAATGTCACTTATGTCCCCTTTAAAAGTCGGCCCGGTTACTCCTGGAGTCTCGTAGTCGCGAGAGGCCCATGAGAACTTCCTCGACAGGCCTCCTGCCCAGTTGCTGGCCGCCTCGACTCCGAACACTCACCGTGCCGCTCTCGCACTCCTGATCGCCTACCACTGGAAGCCAAAACATTTGTCGTCACAAAAACAACTGGGCTTGTAAACATGGGCCACGCTATTATCGGCGGTCTTTACCAAACGTGTAATTGTATTGTGCCAGCTGAGCAGAGCGGATCTTCTTGCTTAAGGTGGCGCCGGCGTCTTCATTCAAATCCACCATGAAGCCGGTTTCACGAAACTTCTGAACCAACTTAGGACAATACAAACATTGGACTTGTGCTTTCTCAACCCCCACACCCCCACCCTGCCCCCGGGCTCTGCCCCAAGATAACCGGTGAGAGAACGTAAATTTGCGACTGACCTGTTTAGCGGCTGCCTCACAGCTGCTCCCAACGGGGATGACCATGACTTGTGCCGGAGACAACCAAAACGGCCTTTGGAAGACCAAGACCAAATGATGACGAGTTTCGCCCAATCGAACAACCTGACACCGGTTTGATCTCACCATTTCCCTCCAAAGTTTTCAGCCAAGATTGCAATCATCCTCTCCAGTGAGCCGAGCACCGCACGGTGGATCATCACCGGCCGATGGGACTTGCCATCTCGCCTAAAACAAACACGGACAGTCGCTTAACCAAGATGTCGCGATGAGGAGTTGGATCCAGAAAATGGATTCAGTACATGTCCTGCGGCAAATCGATGCCAAATTGTCGGGCTTCAAGTTGATCTCAGAGGTTCCCCGGTGAATGAATTGCACTATCAGAGAATGTGCACTTACCCCACGTACTGAAGGTTAAATCTGATTGGCAGCTGAAAGTCCAACTGGATGGTGGCGCACTGGTGCTGTCGACCCATCGCATCTCTAATCTGGATGTCAATCTGCAAATGACATGTTGGGGTTGGAAAAAAGAGGTGCGGTATTAGAACTCTGCCCCACAAGTGCGGGGCAAATTGGAGTTTTTGCGAAGAGACATGCTCATAAAATGAGTTGGCACCAGACTGGAGCGGATGTCGCTAATTGCTGCTAACACGCCTAAACTGGATGTGGAGGGGGGATTTTTTTTTTTTTTTTTTTTTTTTTTTAAGGAGCTGCGAGTTTGTTTGTTGAAGCGCACCCTGACTTGACCTGCCTCAACTGTCGGTGCACACACCTGAGCTGTAAAATCTTACCTCTACTTGCAGGTTTCACATATTTTTTTTGAAGCAATAGTTTTCCTGGCATCAGAGTGGTGTGCAAAAAAAAAAAAAAAAAAGGGGGGGTGTGATCATCTGAAACATTTGTGAATCAAACCACATGCATCCATATGTTATATCAACATCAATAAAAATACATTAAAAAAAATTATTCTCAGCACATGCAATTCTATTCATCTGGCCATCGGGAAGCATTATCTGGAAACGAAGAGTTACTTCTTCCGACGGTGGTGGGAGTTGATCACTTAATGCCGCAACACTCAGAACTTCAGTTGTCGCTACTTTCGAGTCGGTCTGCTTTGCATCTGGAAACGCAGCTGCCGCAGCGACGGCCATGTGCGTCGGTGCGGCAGCCGGCGAGCGTTTCTTGACCTTCATGTGGTTTTACCAGTGCGGCTTCTCCCATGCTGGTTGCGTCAAACAACTTGGGAGCAAAGTCTGCATTTTCACTTCCGTGGTTAAAGACCTTTCAGTAGAAAACGTTTTGCTGTCGAAACTATTGTTTCACCACAAATATAATATTTCAGAATTCATGGTGAGCAGAGTGACTGAGAGAGAGCCGGCAATCGCTTGACCTTTTTTTTTTTTTGCGCTAGGCTAACCTATTGGGCTGTTGCATTACCGATATGGTGTGATGATGCACTGCCGCCTCAATTTAAATTTAAACACCACTTTAATGGTGTTTTAAACATCCAAAATCTGACCCATGCAGTAGTTTCACTGAGATTTCCAAAAATGTAATTTTTTTTTCACTTTTCAAGGACTGGGAAAACACATTTTCACTCATGTTTTCAGACACACTTTCGACCGAGAGCGGTGTATTTCTTTTTAAGGCACGCTGTCGCAAAGGTGATCCAGACTTTGATTGATGGCCTCGCTCACCTTTGGCCCATAGAAGGCTCCGTCCCCTGGGTTCAACTCCCACCGCTCGCCAAACTGCCGCAGGCTCCGCTCTAACTGCTGCACACAAACAAAAACAGCGGCCAAGACTGTGAGTGAGTCCCAGTCTGATCCTCACGTCGTCGCCATGTGAGGGTGTGTGCGCGCATTTAATCACACTCAATTGAATGCGCCTTAATCGCTGCTTTGAGATACGCATCTGCACAGCGGGTTGATAAAGGCAGCTCGCTACAAAGTGGCGCGTGCTTGCTTTGTCGTGGTACGCTGTGACTCGACGTACATTTCTTTCTTTGAGTGAGCGCCTACCTGCTCGGCGTGGTCCCACTGCTCGGGCTCCCCGAGGCAGGGAGTGGGACGTGTGGAGAGGAGGCAATGGAAGGAAAACCCAAACACTTGATAAACGCTTCTCACAAAGTCCAAACAAGCCACAATTTCACCTTCCAGCTGTGAGGGCATAGGGTGGGGGTTGGGGGGGGGGCAACAGGAGGACACGTTAACGACAATAACAGACGTACATTTGGAAGGGTCCAATTCCAAATAGGTGGGACGCCCACTGGCTGCAGACTTGAAAATGGTATTTGAGAGGTTAGCGTGGTGGTGCGAACTTTGTGGGGGGAGCAGGATTACACGCGCGCAGTGTGCAGCACATGTTTAAGTGTGAGGTTGGATCAGGACAAAGCGGCGCATTCAGCAAGCTGGAATGTCAGCACAATTATTAGTGTGGCCCATCTAATCGCTGTAATATGATCCCACATGTGTCCCATTTACAGGTTGTGTCAGAATACAAAAGCTTTTGGGCCAACATTTGAGATGGGTTATTCCAGCAAATGCTATGATCATATTAGGGACGGACATTTTGCCCAAATGGGGAAACTTAATGATTAACAGAGTGTTGGCAATTGTGTTTTATTAGTTATTTAGTTCAGTTTAGCTATCTTGGGCAAGTGACTTCATTTACAAAAGAAAAACAAAGCCCCCCCCCCCAAAAAAAAGTGCTTTGACACCATCTTGTGGCATCGCCGGCCAATTACAACAATTTTTGGATGGGCATTACTTACAGGTTTTTCTGTACAGTCGTCCCATCACATAAGAGTTTAATTCATTGTGTGACAACGTTCCGTAAATCAGAAACACTCACATCTCAAAGAATCTTTCCCCATTGAAATGAATGGAAATGCTATTAATCCGCGCCCTCCTTCACCCCAAAAACAACAAATATTGTTGTGTGTATTATTTCAAGGAGGTAAACTTGCACTCCATAAAATTAGACTTTATGATAAATACACTAATTACATAAATGTAATTAAAATGTATTTATTTCCGGTCCGACTGCATCAATTGAACGCATGCATATGGCAGGCCACGAGAAGCCAATCATACTGCAGCGGGGCAGGTGCTACCTAAAAGCCAAGTGGGGTTCAATAAACTTCATTGAGACACCTTCATTCCTCTCAGCTCAACAGTATGGCAAACATTCCTTCTAACTGGAGGATAAATATGACTGTGAGTAGTGTTATATTGAGCTATAGTTGTTTTAAAATGCACAAGGTCTAATTCTGTTTTTTCAAGAGTGGCACTAAAAAGCCTGAAGAGCTTTTTGAAGAAAATATTGTCTGTTTGACAAATTGCTGCTTATTGTAAAGTGCGTTGAGTTTTGCGCTTGTATATCAAGACTGCGCTCACAAGTCAAGGCAATCATTTGAATGAAGGCTCATTTCTCCAACAACTCGTACCGCAAGGCACCGGCAGCTGCTGGTGGCCAAGTACGGTCCATGTAGCACTTGAGTACGCTTTATTACGTACCTGGTCAGGCGTGCAGAAAATGTGAGCATCGTCTTGGCAGAACTTGCGGACCCGGGTGAGACCCCCCAGAGCGCCGGAGAGCTCGTTGCGATGCAGCGCCCCGAAGTCGGCCCAGCGCAGAGGAAGCTCTCGCCACGAGCGCACACGCTGCTCGAACATCAGACTGAAATTCAAGATGGAGAGGAGGAAAATAAAAAAAAAAAGTTATGGCCTCCTGAGCATAAAATGTATGTGTGTGTGTGTGTGTGTGTACCAGTGCGCGGGGCAGTTCATGGGCTTGAGCGCGTAGGTCTGAGAGCCCCCTGAGGTGACTGTAAACATGTTGTCGCTGTAGTGTTCCCAGTGACCCGAGCGTTCCCACAATGCAGTGCTGTACAGAGTCGGGGTGATGACCTCGTTAAAGCCTCGCCGCCGGTACTCGCTCTGCCCGAGGGAGGGAGGAAGGATGCGTGCGTGTCACAAAGAGTGCAAGAACGTGCCTGAACTGTCAGCGCACGGCAATAAACGCAGACTAACGAGCCCAATATCCTGACCGTTGATGGAAAACAACAATGCCCTCTGGGATGTGTTGAGCAGACGTGTTTGACATGCTTGCACCCGGTGGAAAACAGCAGCAAGGGGCCCCCCCGAGCAAAATTTGCAGTTAATAAAGCCTCAAAAGATGCTCACCTTGATGAAACCAGTGAGGGTGTTGTACACGTGGGCTCCTTTCGGGAGGAAGAAGCAGCTTCCAGGACTGACATCATTGAAGAAGAACAACTCCTGCTCCTGGGAAAACATGACAATACTTTTCATGGACACCGACATGCGGAAAACGTTTTCTTTGGCTGCTTAAGAAGTATTCTTACGCAGTGATGCCTTGGGATACTATCGTTTCAAGTCATCTTTGCCCATTGAATGGAATGGAAATGCCATTAAGCAGCAGCCAATCATATTTCCGCGGGGCGTGCCCTGCCCAGAAATTGAGTGGAATTCATGGAAATCCCTCTGATCTCCCCGTTTGGCATTGATATTAGTCATTCTATACAGGAGACAAAGAATATATGCCATGGTGAAGTGAGTTCAGTTCGCTGGCCTGCTGCCTCGAGTTTGAATGGCGAGTTTGTGATTGGCTAACGACCAGTTCAGGGCGCACCCTGCCTCAGCTCGGATAAATCAATATCTTGGGTTTGGTCTTGTTTCGTCTACAGGCTCCATTTACCGTGCCGATGCGTCTGTGGTCCCTCCTGCGGGCCGCCTCCTGTTCCCTCTCCCACTCGTCTTTATCCTTGTCGCTAGGGAAGGCCACCCCGAAGAGACGCATCAAACCCGGGCACTCGCTCTGATCGGCCAGGGTCAGGGGTGACAGCTGAGGGGGTGAGAGAGCAAACGTGCGGATGGAGCAGAAACATTCGCGTCAATGTCAACGCCGCGTAAAGAATTGGCGAAAGGGAAAGGACGAGCACAGTACAGCCAAACGAGGAAGGGGCAAAGCGATGCGAGTCACAGAGTTTCTGATAGATGCGCACAGAACGAGTGTGTGTGTTTGTAAGAGCTAAGGACAGGAAACTGGCCTCTGACAAAAAAACATCCTGCTGCTGCCGCCATGGAATCGCAGTCAGCGCGGTGACGGGCCAGTATGGAAAACGGCTCCCTCATGGATCAATAACCACGAGGAACATTCCGTTCACAGAGCCGCATTAAGCCCTCCACATGTATGGGCCAAAGCAAACACTTTGGCAGATTAGCAAGGCTTAAAACTGCACTTGATTACCGGGTCACAAAAACTCTGTTGAACATACAACTATTTATTCTTGATGGCACCGCTTCGTTTTCAGTTCAATTATGAGAGTGTTACCATTGTAAGGCTGCGCTTTGACCATGACAAAAATACGTTATTTTATCTTATAGCTATCTAACTAGCTATAAGATAAAATAACGGCTTTTTGTCATGGTCAAAGCTTATAGCTAGCTAGCTAGCTATAAGATAGTGAAGGCCATGCGAAACAATTGCTGGGTTGCATGAGGTAGGCTATTTTTTTCAACTGTCCCGCGGGTAACACCTCACATGGACAAACAGGTATAGATTAGATAGACAGATACTTTATTCATCCCACAAGGGAAGTAGATTTGCTTGCGCCATTTATGTTGTTGTTATAAAGAGTGAAATGGGGGGGGGGATTAAGCTTATGAGGGAAACATTTGCAGCCGGTACCCCCCACCTTACCCTCACACACATGCACGCACGCACCTCCTCCTAAGATGATCGGCAAGCCCCCTCGCTGCCCATCTTTCAAACTCGCCTTAAAACTCATTTTTATTCTGTGTCTCTTGACTCAGCATGAGACCTGATTTTAGTTTTACGGTCTTCGTTTTCAATTTATTCTTTTATCGTTGCTGTAGGACTTATTTTTCTCTGTGTATACAACGGTGGTTGTTTTAAAGTGCTCTATAAATACAGTTGACAGTTATTGTCTTTTAATGGTCCATCTTTGTTATGTACGGCACTTTGTTACAGCTGCGGTTTATTGTCAAAGTGCTCCAGAAATAAACTTGGGTTGAGTGGTTAACCGACCGGATGATGGAATCAATAGCTGCCGCCAATGGCAAATTCAGAAATGGAAGATTACGAGACTGTGCGATTGGCTGGCAACCACTTCAGGGTGACCCCAAACCGTCAAGAGGATCAGTGGTGCACTCACTCTCACGCATACACGCACCTGGAGCATCTTGAACACCCTGAGGAGGCCAGTGTGTGGTAGGAGGGGCCCATTACAGAGGGCTATGCTGTCTCCACACCTGTGTCACACAAATGATTATAAGACTATTTTCGAG